TTTGCGTTCTATTTGAAAGTCAACAATGTTATTTTTTTTCTTCAATAGAGTGATAAAGGGCATGCAGCTATAGTATTTCTTCAAACAAAATAAATTAATACAAAACACTCAGCAGAAGATACAGTTGGTTCGGAAATGTACATACTCCTTAGCCAAATACATTTCAACTCAGTTTTCCACAATTCCTGACATTTAATCCTAGTAAAAATTCCCTGTCTTAGGTCAGTTAGGATCACCACTTTATTGTAAGAATGTGAAATGTCAGAATAATAGTAGAGAGATTTATTTCAGCTTTTATTTATTTCATCACATTCCCAGTGGGTCAGAAGTTTACATACACTCAATTAGTATTTGGTAGCATTGCCTTTAAATTGTTTAACTTGGGTCAAACGTTTCGGGTAGACTTCCACAAGCTTCCCACAATAAGTTGGGTGGATTTTGGCCCATTCCTCCTGACAGAGCTGGTGTAACTGAGTCAGGGTTGTAGGCCTCCTTGCTCGCACATGCTTTTTCAGTTCTGCCCACAAATGTTCTATGGGGATTGAGGTCAGGGCTTTGTGATGGCCACTCCAATACCTTGACTTTGTTGTCTTTAAGCCATTTTGCCACAACTTTGGAAGTGTGCTTGTGGTCATTGTCCATTTGGAAGACCCATTTGCGACCAAGCTTTAACTTCCTGACTGATGTCTTGAGATGTTGCTTCAATATATCCACATAATTTTCCTTCCTCATGATGCCATCTATTTTGTGAAGTGCACCAGTCCCTCCTGCAGCAAAGCACCCCCACAGCATGATGCTGCCACCCCCGTGCTTCACGGTTGGGATGGTGTTCTTCGGCTTGCAAGCCACCCCCTTTTTCCTCCAAACATAACGATGGTCATTATGGCCAAACAGTTCTATTTTTGTTTCATCAGACCAGAGGACATTTCTCCAAAAAGTACGATCTTTGTCCCCATGTGCAGTTGCAAACTGTAGTCTGGGTTTTTTTATGGCGGTTTTGGAGCAGTGGCTTCTTCCTTGCTGAGCGGCCTTTCAGGTTATGTTGATATAGGACTCATTTTACTGTGGATATAGATACTTTTGTACCTGTTTCCTCCAGCATCTTCACAAGGTCCTTTGCTGTTGTTCTGGGATTGATTTGCACTTTTCGCACCAAAGTACGTTCATCTCTAGAAGACAGAACACGTCTCCTTCCTGAGTGGTATGACGGCTGCGTCGTCCCATGGTGTTTATACTTGCGTACTATTGTTTGTACAGATGAACGTGGTACCTTTAGGTGTTTGGAAATTGCTCCCAAGGATGAACCAGACTTGTGGAGGTCTACCATTTTTTTTCTGAGGTCTTGGCTGATTTCTTTTGATTTTCCCATGATGTCAAGCAAAGAGGCACTGAGTTTGAAGGTAGGCCTTGAAATACATCCACAGGTACACCTCCAATTGTCTCAAATGATGTCAATTAGCCTATCAGAAGCTTCTAAAGCCATGACATCATTTTCTGGAATTTTCCAAGCTGTTTAAAGGCACATTCAACTTAGTGTATGTAAACTTCTGACCCACTGGAATTGTGATACAGTGAATTATAAGTGAAATAATCTGTCTGTAAACAATTGTTGGATAAATTACTTGTGTCATGCACAAAGTAGATGTCCTAACCGACTTGCCAAAACTATAGTTTGTTAACAAGAAATTTGTGGGATGGTTGAAAAATTAGTTTTAATGACTGCAACCTATATGTATGTAAACTTCCGACTTCAACTGTCATTTTCATCTGACGACAACAGAAGTGCAACGCTATATAGCTAGCAGTAAATTAGCTTACAATAAAAGAGCAAGTTATTTTTTGCAAAGACAATGCATGGCAATCAGATTTATTATGTTAACCATAGAAAGAATAGTAGCCAGCTACATTTCCTAATGTTTTGTTTGAAGTTAGTCTTGCATTTTAACTTGCTAAAACTACCAGAGAAAAGCTCTTTCTCTCTGCCATTAGTCAGAGCACTGTCTGCTGATCAAATGCCCGTTCATGAATGCAGGAATTTGATCGGTCTGAAGACGAGAGTAAGATTACTCATCCGATCGGAGAAGTTCAACTCAAGCACAAAATATGTCTAAAGCCAAACAGAAATTACAATAAGAAGAGTTTTAGATCTGCGTTGACAAAATTCAGCAAGATATTTCTTCTGTGTTTTCCTTTTTTCAACTTGAAAACGCAGAATTCTGCATTAACGCTACCCCTTTTACCACACCATGACCATAACACTACCACACCATGACCTTAACACTACAACACCATGACCGTAACACTACAACACCATGACCGCAACACTACCACACCATGACCTTAACACTACAACACCATGACCGTAACACTACAACACCATGACCGCAACACTACCACACCATGACCGTAACACTACCACACCATGACCGTAACACTACCACACCATGACCGTAACACTACAACACCATGACCGTAACACTACAACACCATGACCGCAACACTACCACACCATGACCTTAACACTACAACACCATGACCGTAACACTACCACACCATGACCGTAACACTACCACACCATGACCGTAACACTACCACACCATGACCGTAACACTACCACACCATGACCGTAACACTACAACACCATGACCGTAACACTACCACACCATGACCTTAACACTACAACACCATGACCGTAACACTACCACACCATGACCGTAACACTACCACACCATGACCGTAACACTACCACACCGTGGTCCTCTGTAGCTCAGCTGGTAGAGCACGGCGCTTGTAACGCCAAGGTAGTGGGTTCGATCCCCGGGACCACCCATACACAAAAAATGTATGCACGCATGACTGTAAGTCGCTTTGGATAAAAGCGTCTGCTAAATGGCATATTATATTATTATATTATATGACCGTAACACTACCACACCATGACCGTAACACTACCACACCATGACCGTAACACTACCACACCATGACCTTAACACTACAATACCGTGAACGTAACACTACCACACCATGACCGTAACACTACAACACTGTGACCGTAACACTACCACACCATGACCGTAACACTACAACACCGTGACCGTAACACTACCACACCATGACCTTAACACTACAACACCATGACCGTAACACTACAACACCATGACCGTAACACTACCACACCATGACCTTAACACTACAATACCGTGAACGTAACACTACCACACCATGACCGTAACACTACAACACTGTGACCGTAACACTACCACACCATGACCGTAACACTACAACACTGTGACCGTAACACTACCACACCATGACCGTAACACTACAACACCGTGACCGTAACACTACCACACCATGACCTTAACACTACAATACCGTGAACGTAACACTACCACACCATGACCGTAACACTACAACACCGTGACCGTAACACTACCACACCATGACCGTAACACTACAACACTGTGACCATAACACTACCACACCATGACCTTAACACTACAACACCATGACCGTAACACTACCACACCATGACCGTAACACTACAACACCATGACCGTAACACTACCACACCATGACCTTAACACTACAACACCATGACCGTAACACTACCACACCATGACCTTAACACTACCACACCATGACCTTAACACTACAACACCATGACCTCAACACTACAACACCATGACCTTAACACTACCACACCATGACCGTAACACTACCACACCATGACCGTAACACTACCACACCATGACCGTAACACTACCACACCATGACCGTAACACTACCACACCATGACCGTAACACTACCACACCATGACCGTAACACTACCACACCATGACCGTAACACTACCACACCATGACCGTAACACTACCACACCATGACCGTAACACTACAACACTGTGAACGTAACACTACCACACCATGACCGTAACATTACAACACCGTGACCGTAACACTACCACACCACGTCCATGACCGTAACACTACCACACCATGACCGTAACACTACCACACCGTGACCGTAACACTACCACACCATGACCGTAACACTACCACACCATGACCGTAACACTACAACACTGTGACCGTAACACTACCACACCATGACCTTAACACTACCACACCATGACCGTAACACTACCACACCACGACCGTAACACTACCACACCATGACCAAAACACTACCACACCATGACCATAACACTACCACACCACGACCATGTCATTTAGTGATAACCTCCTCAGATCCCCACGAGAGCAGATGGGAAGGAAAGCGAAGTGAACATGAAAGGCCTGTGTGCTGTTAAACATTAATGTGGGCTGTTTTGCAGTGACGGCTGTCTGACACACACTGATATGATAATGCTAATTTAGACAGGCACACGGGAGACTGCCTCTGGGGTCCTTCAGGCACGCTCCATCACTGACACATTTAGTCATTTACCTCTCTTTTCCTCTTCATTCTCTCTCTCTCTCTCTCTCTCTCTCTCTCTCTCTCTCTCTCTCTCTCTCTCTCTCTCTCTCTCTCTCTCTCTCTCTCTTCCTAAGTGGAGTGACCTGCCAGAAGTTTGCAGGTGGAGAAAGCTACCAGTAGTCCGCAGCAGTAGTGTGACACCAGAACAAGTTCTAACTGATTCCCCAGAGCTAAAGAACGAGACAGAGAGAGAGAGACATGCAACGCGAAACAGAGGAAACGCAACAGTGCTTCCAATCCTCCCTTCGCACCTACAGTACCTACACCCCCTCTCACCTGCCTCCACAGCTCCCTTCTTCAGTCTCACGTCAGTCGCTTCTTGTTTTATCTCTGTTACAGCAGTCGTCCGTCCCACCGACAAAAGTTAGATATGCACATACACTCACACTGCTGATCACCTAGCAGTGTTACTGACATACACCACCCCCTGGCACCCCCAAAACAGAATGCCTTAGAGTCACATCACCCATCCACCTCCCTCCCTCCATCCCTCCCTGCCTCCTTCCTCCAGGCTGCATTTTCCTCTCCTCTTTTCACTCCCTCGTTATCATAATCACATTGGACAAGCGCCTAGGGATGGTGGTTTCCTTCTCTCTCTCTCCCTGGAGTCCCTTCCTCCTGTAATGTTGTTGTTCTTTATTGACCGTCTTCTTCTCTCCTTTTGCTCTTTTGAATTCGTCAAACGGACGAGGTTGTGTGTGAGGATGTGTGCATGCCTGTGTGTGTGTGTGCGTATGCGTATGTGTGTGTCGAGTGCCTCTGTAGCTACTCAATTACCTGGCTGTTTCATAGTGTAATGTCTGTATTGTTGCTGACACGCCGCTACAAACGATCCATAACCACTGCTGTGTTGGGGCCTACACAGACCAGGTTTGTCAGAGATAATAAGCACAATGTTCTTCTTCTGTTTGGTCACAAAGGATCACGTCATCATCACACCATTCCACTACAGTGGGTCAGTCAGTCAGTCAGTCAGTCACACAGTACAGACAGGCAGACAGACAGAGCAGCAGCATTACCAACCTGGTCTCAGATCATTTTGTATTATTCTGTACATCAAGCTGAGACACTATTTAGTATGATATGTTACATTTCGTATGGTATGTCTTAATTTGTGCATATCCATCACCCATTTCGTATGATATGTTACAAATTACAATTCGTATTATATGTTACGAATTTGCAAAACGTACAATATGTTACAAAGTTGCAAAACCTATGATATGGTGTGAATTCGAGCTAGGTGGCTAGGTGGCTAACATTAGCTAGCTCGCTAACGTTAGCTAGGTTAGGGATAAGGGTTAGGGGTTAGGGTAAGGTTAGGGCTAAGTTTAGGAGTTAGGTTAAAGGGTTAATGTTAGGGTTAGGGGAAGGGGAAGGGTTAGCTAAAAGGGTTAAGGTTAGGGTTAGGTTAAGTGTTAGCTAAAAGGGTTAAGGTTAGGGTTAGGGAACGGGTTAGCTAACATGCTAAGTAGTTGCAAAGTAGCTAAAAAGTAGTAAGTAGTTGAAAAGTTGATAATTAGCTAAAATGCTAAATTTGTCCGAGATGAGATTGGAACTCGCAACCTTTGAGCATTAGACTCAGCTAAACACAACTCCTGGTAGCTATTGAGCTGTCAGCACTGAGAAGGGGAAGTCAGTAGGTACTCAACTACAAATCACTCCTGGTTCACAACAATATCAACCGTGTTACGAGTCACATACAATGTCGTCTAGGCACCTCCAGTAAAAGGAATATATACTGTATAGCAGGGATCATCAACTAGATTCAGCCGCTGGAGGATTTTTTCTTGAGCGGATGTTTGGGGGCCGGAACATAATTACAAATCATTTGACTGCAAATTGACCGCAAGAATCCCAAACAGATATAATATTTGACTAAAACATAATAATTTAAAACCTTGCTTACATTTGTAGACGATCACATATCTCTCTATTATGCGTGGGAATACTTGGGAACAGATTTCTCAAATAAAAATCACCTGTAGCAGATATCCCCAAATAATATATGTATATATATAAAAAAAATATTGCTCCGCAAAATTAAACCACCGCCAGTTGCAGAACCGTGCTGTATTGTGTACCTATACAGTGCATTCTGAAAGAATTCAGACCCCTTGACTTTTTCCTCATTGTGTTACTCCTTATACTAAAATGGATTCAAAGAGTTTTTTCCCTCATCAATCTACACACAATACCCCATAACAACAAAGCAAAAACAGGTTTTTAGAAATGTTTGCTAATTTATTCAATATAAAACATTGAAAATATTACATTACATAAGTATTCAGACCCTTTACTCAGTACTTTGTTGAAGCACCTTTGGCAACGATTACAGCCTCAAGTCTTCTTGGGTATGACGCTACAGGCTTGGCACACCTGTATTTGGGGAGTTTCTCCCATTCTTTTCTGCAGATCTTCTCAAACTCTGTCCGGTTGGATGGGGTTGGACCTGCTCCAGAGCGCACAGGTATTTTCAAGTCTCTCCAGAGATGTTTGATCGGGTTCAAATCCGGGCTATGAATGGGCCACTCAAGGACATTCAGAGACCTGTCCCGAAGCCACTCCTGTGTTGTCTTGGCTGTGTGCTTAGGGTCGTTGTGCTGTTGCAAGGTGAACCTTCGCCCCAGTCTGAGGTCCTGAGCGCTCTAGAGCAGGTTTTCATCAAGGATCTCTCTGTACTTTGCTCCGTTCATCTTTGCCTCGATCCTGACTAGTCTCCCAGTCCCTGCCACTGAAAAACATCCCCACAGCATGATGCTGCCACCAAAATGCTTCACCGTAAGGATGGTGCCAGGTTTCCTCCAGACGTGATGCTTGGAATTCAGGCCAAAGAGTTCAATCTTGGTTTCATCAGACCAGAGAATCTTGTTTCTCATGGTCTGAGAGTCTTTAGGTGCCTTTTGGCAAACTCCAAGCGTATGTACAGTGGGGAAAAAAAGTATTCAGTCAGCCACCAATTGTGCAATTTCTCCCACTTAAAAAGATGAGAGAGGCCTGTAATAAAATAGGTACACGTCAACTATGACAGACAAATTAAGAAAAAAAAATCCTGAAAATCACATTGTAGGATTTTTTATGAATTTATTTGCAAATTATGGTGGAAAATAAGTATTTGGTCACCTACAAACAAGCAAGATTTCTGGCTCTCACAGACCTGTAACTCTCACAGACCTGTAACCTTCTTTAAGAGGCTCCTCTGTCCTCCACTCGTTACCTGTATTAATGGCACCTGTTTGAACTTGTTATCAGTATAAAAGACACCTGTCCACAGCCTCAAACAGTCACACTCCAAACTCCACTATGGCCAAGACCAAAGAGCTGTCAAAGGACACCAGAAACAAAATTGTAGACCTGCACCAGGCTGGGAAGACTGAATCTGCAATAGGTAAGCAGTTTGGTTTGAAGAAATCAACTGTGGGAGCAATTATTCGGAAATGGAAGACATACAAGACAACTGATAATCTCCCTCGATCTGGGGCTCCACGCAAGATCTCACCCCGTGGGGTGAAAATGATCACTAGAACGGTGAGCAAAAATCCCAGAACCACACGGGGGGACCTAGTGAATGACCTGCAGAGAGCTGGGACCAAAGTAACAAAGCCTACCATCAGTAACACACTACGCCGCCAGGGACTCAAATCCTGCAGTGCCAGACGTGTCCCCCTGCTTAAGCCAGTACATGTCCAGGCCCGTCTGAAGTTTGCTAGAGTGCATTTGGATGATCCAGAAGAGGATTGGGAGAATGTCATATGGTCAGATGAAACCAATATATAACTTTTTGGTAAAAACTCAACTCGTCGTGTTTGGAGGACAAAGAATGCTGAGTTGCATCCAAAGAACACCATACCTACTGTGAAGCATGGGGGTGGAAACATCATGCTTTGGGACTGTTTTTCTGCAAAGGGACCAGGACGACTGATCCGTGTAAAGGAAAGAATGAATGGGGTCATGTATCGTGAGATTTTGAGTGAAAACCTCCTTCCATCAGCAAGGGCATTGAAGATGAAACGTGGCTGGGTCTTTCAGCATGACAATGATCCCAAACACCCCGCCCGGGCAACGAAGGAGTGGCTTCGTAAGAAGCATTTCAAGGTCCTGGAGTGGCCTAGCCAGTCTCCAGATCTCAACCCCATAGAAAATCTTTGGAGGGAGTTGAAAGTCTGTGTTGCCCAGCGACAGCCCCAAAACATCACTGCTCTAGAGGAGATCTGCATGGAGGAATGGGCCAAAATACCAGCAACAGTGTGTGAAAACCTTGTGAAGACTTACAGAAAACGTTTGACCTGTGTCATTGCCAACAAAGGGTATATAAGTTTTTGCAAAGTTTTTGCAAATTTGCAAATAAATTCATTAAAAATCCTACAATGTGATTTTCTGGATTTTTTTTTCTAATTTTGTCTGGCATAGTTGACGTGTACCTATGATGAAAATTACAGGCCTCTCTCATCTTTTTAAGCAGGAGAACTTGCACAATTGGTGGCTGACTAAATACTTTTTTCCCCCACTGTATATATATATTTGCGAGAAAAAAAACATATGGGGGATTGGAAGTGATGCAGACAATTACATTGATGGAAGTTACAATCTATCTGAAATATTAAAGCTGATCTACTCCCTAAAAAAAAAAAGAAAAAAAAAAAGAAAAGAAATAAACAAAATGTTAAATATATAATCCAAGCGGGCTGTCGTGTGCCATTTACTGAGGAGTGGTTTCCGTCTGGCCACTCTTCCATAAAGGCCTGATTGGTGGAGTGCTGCAGACATGGTTGTCCTGCTGGAAGGTTCTCCCATCTTCACAGAGGAACTCTTGAGCTCTGTCAGAGTGACCATTGGGTTCTTGGTCATCTCACTGAGCAAGGCCCTTCTTCCCCGATTGCTCAGTTTGGCCTGGCGGCCAGCTCTAGGAAGAGTCTTGGTGGTTCCAAACTTCTTCCATTTAAGAATGATGGAGGCCACTGTGTTCTTGGGGACCTTCAATGCTGCAGACCTTTTTTGGTACCCTTCCCCAGATCTGTGCCTCGACACGATCGTGTTTCGGAGCTCTACGGACAATTCCTTCGTCCTCATGGCTTGGTTTTTGCTCTGACATGCACTGTCAACTGTGGGACCTTTGCTTTTCCAAATCATGTCAAATCAATTGAATTGACCACAGGTGGACTCCAATCAAGTTGTAGAAACAGCTCAAGGATGATCAATAGAAACAGGATGCACCTGAGCTCAACTTGGAGTCTCATAGTAAAGGGTCTGAATACTTATGTAAATAAGGTATTTCTGTTTTTTATTTTAATACATTTGCAAAAATTTCTAAAAAACTGTTTTTTCTTCATCATTATGGGATATTGTGTGTATATTGATGAGGAAAATTTGTTATTTAATCAATTTTAGAAAAAGGCTGTAACGTAACAAAATGTGGAAAAAGTCAAGGGGTTTAAATACTTTCCGAATGCACAGTAAAATAAAGTGATTATAATGGTCAGGTAATTTTTTACACTTAGATAATGGAGCTTATAGTATTCAGTAAGGCAGAATACATTATATAAGTATTTAACAAGGGCAGTGGTATCCCTGCATATACTGTAAAGCCATAGTTCTCCTCCGTCCTGTGCCTGCCTTTATGTTTTGTTTGCCATCTCTGCCTGTTGGTGTACTGTTTAGGAAGCGTAGGGACGACTGTGTGTATGCCCATGGTTGTGTCTTGATGTGTGTCTGTGTGTGTGCCCCCCTGCCCCCACAGCTGGTCCAAAGCAGATGTTTACCAGTATAATTACCCCCCGCCCATACGTCATCTCCAGCCTCTAGATGTGTAGTGACACCAGTTCAACACAGACCTGCTGTGGATCTCATTTAACACATTAATATCAATACTCTTACTGCCTATTGGCCAACCATTAAAATAAGGACACATGCACTAACCGATGGAAAATACACTGGCACGCATACATGGCTTACAGACAACAACACACACACCTGAACTCAGGAATACACACATGAAGTCAAGTGCAAAGTCAACAAGTGAAAAGTGACACAAAAGGATTACACAATGGTGTCATAGCAATGGCATAGCTAACAAAAAAAGTACATACTATCACCACAGAGGTGGAGTGTATATATAACTCAAGACCCACTCCTTTCCAAAACACATGTAACAGGGGATAGCAGGACAGGTTAGATAGGCAGTGTGATAGGTACAGTAACCCGGTTCTTACCTGTAGAGGTAGGTGGGTCCACCTGTCCACTGTGAGTCTGCCCTGGGTGCTGAAGGTCATAGAGAGAACCTGACCACTGGGCTGACCATACCGTAGCGTGACCGCAGACTCTGACACGGTCAGCAGGAACACCAACCGCTCTTCTGAACTCTTCTCCAACACCGTCCTGACCAGAGAGAGACAGAGACACCGGGTCAGGAGCACACACACATACGCATGTACGCACACACACACACACACACACACACACAAACACACACACACACACACAAACACACACACACACAAACACACACGCACACAAACACACACGCCTCTCTCTACTCTGAACTCTTCTTATTCAGCGTCAGACCACATCAAGAGCTCAAGAGCTACTGCGTGTGTAGGCTTTTGTTCCAGCCCATCACTAAGACATCTGATTCAAATAATCAACTACAATAGTTACTGTAGGTGTGTTATTGCAGGGTTGGAACAAAAGCCTTCAGTCCCCATAACTCTCCAGCTCTAGGTTTGGAAACCTACATTATGGTCTAGATAGATGACTATGTTTCCACAGAGGGTAAGACCCACCCACAAGAATCCAGTGAGGATCATTGTGACATTTACACATTTAATATCCATATTTAACATGATTTCTCCCTGGTGTTACAGTGGTCTAGAGGAGCAGCCACCCACACACTCTGTGTCATATTAAACACCATCAAACACATTTTATGAGGAAACTCTGGCTTTTTATGAATACAGGCCAACACACCCAATAAATCACTTGCACAGTGTGTGTGTGTGTGTGTGTGTGTGTGTGTGTGTGTGTTGTTTGCACTGCATGCCTGTTCAGTCCAGTTCACTTGAGTGAATGAGATGAGGTAGGGCACAGGGGACAGGTTTTAGGAATTAAATGCTGCCTGTGTTTCTGCCTGTTTGGTCTACTTAGAATTGGGCCAGTCCTCTCAGGGGTGTGTGTGTGTGTGTGTGTGTGTGTGTGTGTGTGTGTGTGTGTGTGTGTGTGTGTGTGTGTGTGTGTGTGTGTGTGTGTGTGTGTGTGTGTGTGTGTGTGTGTGTGTGTGTGTGTGTGTGTGTGTGTGTGTGTGTGTTAGCACGTACATGTGCACATGCACTTGTGTGTGTGTCTGTGTGTCCGCGCGTGCGTGTGGCTGGTCCCAGCGTCTAGGGTGAGTGCGGAGGCACATATTTTAGTTTCATGTTATCCTGGACCTGGCATACTTATAGGTATACATTTTTGAGGAGAATAAACTAGGCTCACTCCCTCTTTGGTCCTGATGTACACAGCCACATAACTAACCTTAAAGGGGCAATCTGTAGTTGCTACATCCATTTTTGGACTTTGAAATTAATGATATGTACCCATTTATTCTTGAAAAACATACATGCCTCATGAGCTTAGTTTAACTGTTGTACCTTATCAGAACCCAAAATATACACTACCAGTCAAAAGTTTGGACACACCTAGTTATTCAGGGTTTTTCTTTATTTTTACTACACTGCTCAAAAAAATAAAGGGAACACTAAAATAACACATCCTAGATCTGAATGAATGAAATAATCTTATTAAATAATTTTTTCTTTACATAGTTGAATGTGCTGACAACAAAATCACACAAAAATTATCAATGGAAATCAAATTTATCAACCCATGGAGGTCTGGATTTGGAGTCACCCTCAAAATTAAAGTAGAAAACCACACTACAGGCTGATCCAACTTTGATGTAATGTCCTTAAAACAAGTCAAAATGAGGCTCAGTAGTGTGTGTGGCCTCCACGTGCCTGTACGTGCCCTACAAGCCTGGGCATGCTCCTGATGAGGTGGCGGATGGTCTCCTGAGGAATCTCCTCCCAGACCTGGACTAAAGCATCCGCCAACTCCTGTACAGTCTGTGGTGCAACGTGGCGTTGGTGGATGGAGCGAGACATGATGTCCCAGATGTGCTCAATTGGATTCAGGTCTGGGGAACGGGCGGGCCAGTCCATAGCATCAATGCCTTCCTCTTGCAGGAACTGCTGACACACTCCAGCCACATGAGGTCTAGCATTGTCTTGCATTAGGAAGAACCCAGGGCCAACCACACCAGCATATGGTCTCACAAGGGGTCTGAGGATCTCATCTCGGTACCTAATGGCAGTAAGGCTACCTCTGGCGAGCACATGGAGGGCTGTGCGGCCCCCCAAAGAATTGCCACCCCACACCATGACTGACCCACCGCCAAACCGGTCATGCTGAAGGATGTTGCAGGCAGCAGAACGTTCTCCATGGCGTCTCCAGACTCTGTCACGTCTGTCACGTGCTCAGTGTGAACCTGCTTTCATCTGTGAAGAGCACAGGGCGCCAGTGGCGAATTTGCCAATCTTGGTGTTCTCTGGCAAATGCCAAACGTCCTGCACGGTGTTGGGCTGTAAGCACAACCCCCACCTGTGGACGTCGGGCCCTCATACCACCCTCATGGAGTCTGTTTCTGACCGTTTGAGCAGACACATGCACATTTGTGGCCTGCTGGAGGTCATTTTGCAGGGCTCTGGCAGTGCTCCTCCTGCTCCTCCTTGCACAAAGGCGGAGGTAGCAGTCCTGCTGCTGGGTTGTTGCCCTCCTACGGCCTCCTCCACGTCTCCTGATGTACTGGCCTGTCTCCTGGTAGCGTCTCCATGCTCTGGACACTACGCTGACAGACACAGCAAACCTTCTTGCCACAGCTCGCATTGATGTGCCATCCTGGATGAGCTGCACTACCTGAGCCACTTGTGTGGGTTGTAGACTCCGTCTCATGCTACCACTAGAGTGAAAGCACCGGCAGCATTCAAAAGTGACCAAAACATCAGCCAGGAAGAATAGGAACTGAGAAGTGGTCACCACCTGCAAAACCAGTCCTTTATTGGGGGTGTCTTGCTAATTGCCTATAATTTCCACCTGTTGCCTATTCCATTTGCACAACAGCATGTGCAATGTATTGTCAATCAGTGTTGCTTCCTAAGTGGACAGTGATTTCACATTTTAGTTATTTAGCAGACGCTCTTATACAGAGCGACTTACAGTTAGTGAGTGCATTCATTTTTATGTATATATTTTTTTTCATACTGGCCCCCCGTGGGAAACGAACCCACAACCCTGGCGTTGCAAACGCCATGCTCTACCAACTGAGCTACATCCCTGCCGGCCATTCCCTCCCCTACCCTGGACGACTTGTGCGCCGTCGCATGGGTCTCCCGGTCGCGGCCGGCTACGACAGAGCCTGGATTCGAACCAGGATCTATAGTGGCACAGCTAGCACTGCGATGCAGTGCCTTAGACCACTGCGCCACTTGGGAGATCTGATTGACTTGGAGTTACATTGTGTTGTTTAAGTGTTCCCTTTATTTTTTTGCGCAGTGTATTTTCTACATTGTAGAATAATAGTGAAGACATTAAAACTATGAAAAACACATATGGAATCATGTAGTAACCAAAAAAGTGTTAAACAAATCAAAAGATGTCTTCACTATTATTCTAAAATGTCGAAAATTGTAAAAATAAAGAAAAACCCTTGAATGAGTAGGTGTGTCCAAACTTTTGACTGGTACTGCAAGCCTGTTTTATGACAATGTTTGGAAACAAAGCACTATATCAACAAGATCTCATGTTCTGAAAAGGTCTGACTTCAGTATTCAACGTTTGTCCTGGGGTCGGGGGAAAAAATCTTAGAGTTTTGACAGTTAAGATAGGAATTCATTCCGATTGGTTAAGTTAAGGGTTAATGTTTGGGATAGAGTAAAAAAGAAAGAAACTAGTTGTCACGGTTCTCTAAGACCGAACCCAGAAGCAGACCAGGACAAGGTGAGTTGAACGAAGGTGAGTGTTTATTTACAGATTCAAAAGGATGCAGAATAATCCAGGAGACGGAGCGGGTGGCTGAGATGAGTAGGTGGAGGTGAAGTGGCAGATTAAATGATGGCACGGCAGGGGTTGGGTGAAGGTTCCGGGAGAATGACTGTAGACAGAAAAAAACGGAGGTAAGTACAAGGCAGGTCAACAAGGTGCAAAAAACAACAAAACTAACACTAGTACTCAGAGGCTGATACGCTGGCAAAACATACTGTTAATGGCTAACGATCCGGCAGGGAATGGATGTCAGGTCAGAGCTTAAGAAGGGGTGATGATCAGGACCAGGTGTGCTGAGGCTGATGAGAAGCAGGTGCGGGTAATCGAGATATCACCCACCTAGCAACGTCGCCCGGCAACCGGACAGGGTGCGTTCAGGAACCGTCAGGAAACAGGAGATACCGAGCAGAAAAACGGCAACACAGGCAGGAACAGACTCAGGACGCAGGGTTCATGACAGTACCCCCCCTCAGATGAACGCCACCGGGCGGACTACCCGGAGCGCCAGGATGGAGGCGGTAGAAGTCACAAAGGAGGTCAGCATCAAGGATCTGACGCCGAGGAATCCAACTCCTCTACTCAGGACCATACCCCTCCCAGTCCACGAGATACTGGAAACCCCGGCCCCGCCGTCTGGAATCCATGATGCGGCGCACCGTGTAGACAGGACCTCCTCCGATCATCCAAGGAGGAGGAGGCGGCAACAGAGGGCTGAGGAGAACAGGCTTGAGGCAGGAGACATGGAAGGTGGGATGGACTTTTAGCGTCCTAGGCAACTTGAGTCGAACCACAACCGGATTGATCACTCTCTCCACCACAAACGGACCAATGAACCTCGGCGACAGTTTCCTTGACTCAGTCCGCAGAGGGAGGTCCCGTGTAGCCAACCAGACCCTATCTCCGATGGCATAAGCGGGGGCTGGAATACGGCGACGATTCGCCTGGAGCTGATACCGGTCAGAAACTCGAAGGAGGGCCTTTCTGGCCCGATGCCAGGTCCGGTGGCAACGACGAATGTGGGCCTGGACAGAGGGAACCGAGAGATCCTTCTCCTGAGTGAGAAACAGGGGGGGTTGGTAGCCGTATAGGCACGGGAAGGGAGACATCCCTGTGGCAGAAGTAGGGAGAGTATTGTGGGCATACTCAACCCAAGGCAACTGAGAGACCCAAGAGGTGGGGTTGGAGGAAACAAGGCAGCGCAGCGTGGATTCCATCTTCTGGTTGGCTCTCTGATTGGGGGTGAAATCCAGATGTGAGACTGACTGTAGCTCCAATGGCCTAACAGAAGGACTTCCAGACAGCAGAGGTGAACTGAGGACCACGGTCGGAAACTATGTCACTGGGCAATCCATGAACCCTGAAAACCTCCCTAACCAGGATATTGGACGTCTCAGAGGCAGAGGGAAGCTTGGAGATGGGCACAAAGTGGTCAAACTTGCTGAATCTGTCCACAATAGTCAGAATGACCGTGTTCCCCTCAGAAGAGGGCAACCCAGTGACAAAGTCCAGGGCCAGATGCGACCATGGTCGCCGGGGGATAGGTAGGGGTTGAAGAAGTCCAGAGCTGGGCCGATTGGCACTCTTGTTCTGCGCACAAACTGGACAGGCAGCAACAAACCTCCGAGTATCTTCTCCCATGGCAGGCCACCAAAATCGTCTGCGTAGAAGCGCCATCGTCCGAGCCACGCCTGGGTGGCAAGCCATCTTGCTGGCGTGGGACCATTGGAGGACAGCCAAACGGACCGACTCAGGCACAAAAAACCGACCGGGTGGACCGTTACCGGGGCCGGGCTGCGTCCGAAGGGACGCCATAACCTCCTCCTCAATCCTCCACATAACGGCTCCTATGACAAGGTTCCGGGGAAGAATCGTCTCAGTCTTGGCCCCACTCTCCTCCGTCTTGGAGAACATCCGGGACAAGGCGTCCGCCTTGCCGTTCTTAGACCCCGGTCGGAACGTCAAGGAAAAATTAAAGGGTCCAAAAAACAACGAACACCTGGCCTGACGGGAGTTGAGACGTTTAGCCGATTGCACGTAAGCAAGATTCTTGTGGTCAGTCCAGACAACAAACGGTTGCTCCGCCCCCTCCAACCAGTGGCGCCACTCCTCCAAGGCAAGTTTCACTGCGAGAAGCTCCCGGTTACCCACATCGTAGTTCCTCTCCGCAGACGAAAGACGACGAGAGTAGTAGGCGCAGGGATGGAGTTTACCGTCAGTGGAGCATCGCTGGGACAGGATGGCGCCAACCCCCACATCAGACGCATCCACCTCAACGACAAACTGACGGGCAGTGTCAGGTTGAGAGAGAATCGGAGCGTTGGTGAATCGCCTCTTCAAATCCAGAAATGCTCGGTCCGCCTCAGGATTCCAACTGAAGGTTCTGGTACTAGAAGTCAGGGCAGTTAAAGGAGCGGCCACACGGCTGAAGTCACGCATAAATCTACGATAGAAATTCACAAACCCCAGAAACCTCTGGAGCTGCAATCTCGTACCGGGCTGGGCCCAATCCAGGAGACGGAGCGGGTGGCGGAGATGAGTAGGTGGAGGTGAAGTGGCAGATTAAATGATGGCACGGCAGGGGTTGGGTGAAGGTTCCGGGAGAATGACTGTAGACAGAAAAAAACGGAGGTAAGTACAAGGCAGGTCAATAAGGTGCAAAAAACAACAAAACTAACGCTAGTACTCAGAGGCTGATACGCTGGCAAAACATACTGTTAATGGCTAACGATCCAGCAGGGAATGGATGAGAAGCAGGTGCGGGTAATCGAGAGATCACCCGCCTAGCAACGTCGCCCGGCAACCGGACAGGGTGCGTTCAGGAACCTTCGGGAAACAGGAGATACCGAGCAGAAAAACGGCAACACAGGCAGGAACAGACTCAGGACGCAGGGTTCATGACACTAGTGCCTACACTCTTAGAAAAAAGGGTTCCAAAAGTGTTCTTTGGCTGTCCCCATTGGAGAATCATTTTTGTATCCAGTTCGAGCCATTGTTGGTTCCAATTAGAGCCCTTTGTGGTTCCAGGTAGAACCGTTTTGGAACCGTTTTCTACCTTGAACCAAAATGGTTCTACTTGGAACCAAAAAGGGTTCTTCAAAAGGTTATCCTATGGGGACAGCTGAAGAACCCTTCTGGGTTCCAGGTAGCACCTTCTTTTTCCAAGAGTGTAGCACTGGGATTGAACCTGTGAGATGGTTTAGGATGCCCCCAGGACAAACGTTGAATACCGAAGTCAGACCTTTTCAGACCATGAGATCTTGTTGATAAAGTGTTTGTTTACATGTGCTTTGAACCTGTGTTCCTCTGAGCCTACTCCGAGAAGGCGCAATAGAGCCTCTTCAACCTCAGGAGGCTGAAGAAATTTGGCTTATCACCAAAAACCCTCACAAACTTTTACAGATCCACAATTGAGAGCATCCTGTCGGGCTGTATCACCGCCTGGTACGGCAACTGCACCGCCCACAACCGCAGGGCTCTCCAGAGGGTGGTGCGGTCTGCCGAACGCATTACCGGGGGCAAACTACCTGCCCTCCAAGACACATACAGCACCCGATGTCACAGGAAGGTCAAAAAGATAATTGAGGACATCAACCACCCGAGCCACTGCCTGTTCACCCCGCTATCATCCAGAAGGCGAGGTCAGTTACAGGTGCATCAAAGCTGGGACCGAGAGAATGAAAAACAGCTTCTATCTCAAGGCCATCAGACTGTTAAATAGCCATCACTAGCACATTAGAGGCTGCTGCTGCCTATTGAAATCACTGGCCACTTTAAGAAATGGAACATTAGTCACTTTAATAATGTTTACATATCTTGCACTACTCATCTCATATGTATATGGTGTATATGTGGTCCTCTGTAGCTCAGCTGGTAGAGCACGGCGCTTGTAACGCCAAGGTAGTGTGTTCGATCCCCGGGACCACCCATACACAAAAAAATAAAATAATGTATGCACGCATGACTGTAAGTCGCTTTGGATAAAAGCGTCTGCTCAATGGCATATTATATTATATTATTATTATATACTGCATTCTATTCTATAATATTCTTCTGTATCTTAGTCCATGCCGCTCTGTCATTGCTGTCATTGCTTGTCCATATATATATATATATTCTTAAATCCCATTCCTTACTTTTTTGTGTGTATTGGGTATATGTTGTGAAATTGTTAGATATTACTGCACTGTCGGAGCTAGAAGCACAAGCATTTCGCTACACCCGCTATAACATCTGCTAAACACGTATATGTGACAAATAAAATGTGATTTGATTTGATGGTAATAGCACTCACCATTGCCCCTAGTGGCCAGTATTGAAGGCATCTCCAGACGTCCTGGGGACCTGGACGAACATCGAATACTGCATTGGATCTGGTGTGACCTGGCTGACTATATAGCCTCAAAACATGGTTAAAACTATAATTATGATTTTTTGGATGGTCAGTCCTTGCATCCATAGCTTTGTCTATGAATTTGAGAGTGGTTACATTTCTCCTGCCCCATCCCTCAGCTGGGAGAGCGCTTAATTATTGTTTCAACTGCTGATTGCTGCTTTAACCTTAACTTTATCATTACACCTAACCTAAAGTCTAACCATAACCCTACATTAACATCAAATAGGTTCAATCAATTCTGATGATATAGCTGATTTAGTCCTTTGTAACACCTGTTTAGAGCTGACTGTGAGTAGTATCAGACTGTGTTTGGAGCTGAAAGGCAGTGGTTAGAGGATTCCCCTCCTGAGGACATCCCTTTCTCTCTCAGTCCTTTCATCCCTCTGCTCAGCTCCCCTGTCCGCTCCGCTCTCCGCTGCCCTCTCGGCTCCCCTCTCTATTTAGACATTTTCTACGTGGAGGAAAACAAAATGCTCTTTGAGCTGATGCTCTCTTTCTACGCTGGTGAAACACATAGGACAATCTTCCTCCCATTGATCCACAGTTGCTGATAATGTATAGCTCACACACAAACACACACACACACACGTACAGTACATACACACACTGTGTAAGCACACACACACATGCACTAGTGATCACTGGAATTCCTGTGTTTGCTATAATTTAAATCAAATTCCCAAAGTCCACCTCTTCATTATCTGTGTGGCAGTAGTCGAATACCAGTGAGGCCTGTGTTAGGTAGGATGCCAGAGATCAATGGACAGCTTCCGGAACACACATCACATAGCCTCATCAAACAGACCAACTGGTACATGATTCACAGACTACAGACCACAGACCACAGACCAATATCATAATATGGTTATTTAGCTAACCCTTTTATCCAAAGCAACACATGTACTGCAGGCTTACTGTACAGTCAGTGAATACTGTATGTATTCTGTACACTGTGTAGATGTTGGAATGGGCAGCTGTGGTGGTCAGTGGGACAATGTGGCTAGAGCGAGAGGTCAGGGATAGATGAGGACAGAGAGCCTTTTATCTAGCCTCTTTGATGGCGGCCATTTTGGTCACTCACAACAAAGACTGATAGCCTACAAACAACAGGCGTGGGAGGGATTCACAAAGCAAAGGCCTGTATGATTGTATGATAAGCAGAGTGTTGCCAGACAGTTACCAGAGAAGAAACTGATCTGATTGTAAGTGTGTGAAACCCAGCACAATGTAAGCTCTCCCAGTAACACCTTACGTTACCACTCTGCGTCCTAAATGGCACACTATTCCCTATATAGTGCACACATTTTGACCTGGGCCCAAGTAGTGCACTATAGAGCGAAGAGGGTGCCATTTGGGATGCAGTCCCTCACTGCCACGCTGCTCTGCTCTTTTCTGTTTGTTCTGAAGGAAAGTATTTCCTGTTCTATCCTGTCCTGTCCTGGCCTACTTACACCACTACCAAAGCTTCAGGTTTCATGTCTCTCTGTGACCTGATTGTTTTCTAACATGGTCCTGTCTTATCTTTCTCTCTGGATTGGACTACCTAAAAGGCCACTCCTGATAAGTGCATGTCGGACTAACCAGCTGTTTGTGGCTGAGACCATGATATGGTTATGCAGGCTAAAAAGTCAAGTTTATCACTTAAACAGTTGATTTTGAACTTTGAGCTAAATTAAATTAAATGTCATCGAAAGTGCATTTTGACATCTTAATACAGTTTATAACAACAGTATACATAAAATACATAAAAGAGGATGAATAAAAGTAATATTCACGTGTTCAGGAGCCTCAGGTTTGATCCACACAGCCAGGGTGAAGGAGGCCAGATGACCCAGACACTGAGAGGGAGGAGAGGCCACGCATCCTCCCTGGGAACCCTAGAATATCACACTCCTTCTGGATCCATCCCCCTCTCCCCCTGTCTCTGTCCCGGGGTGAGGGTTCTGTCCGTCCTGGGTGACACAGATGCCCCAGTGTGTGGAGAGCAGCAGGGGTGTGTGAGGTGGGGTGGAGGAGCTGTAGGGTCACTCCTGGTTGCAGAAGGCCTGGCTGCAGTTGTGGAGCGCCTCCCGGGAGGCGGGGCTGTGGAATTAGGTGGTGCGCTCGGGGGTGCCACAGGTGTGGAGCGGGCGGGGGAGAGGGTGACGGGCTTGTGGGCTCCGATGATCTCCACCAGGGGAAGTGACCCTGGGAGGTCGCGGGGTCAAAGGTGAGGCATAGGGTCATGATGTAGAGCCATAGTAAGGAACGGATTCCTCGTCTGTCTTTTCTGTCCTTTCACACCCCTCTTCCCACTCTTTCTCTTCTTCCCTTTCTGTCCTCTGTCTCTCCTCTCAAACAGGCCTCACTTCCCCCTCTACCCTGTCTTACCCCTCTCTCCTGCCTCCCTCCTTTCCCTCGTCTCACCCCTCCTCCTCCTCTCTCCCCTCTTCCTCCTCTCTCCCCTATTACTTTTCTCCTGGCTCTTCTCCCTCCACCCCCCTCTTCTTCCTTTCACCGATCTCTCCTTCTTCTCCCCTCTCTCCCCTCTCAGTGAGGTCCAGCTCCGTCCATTTGGCCTTGTAGCATCCAGAAGCTCAGTCGTTGAATAAGTCATGATGGTCATGGTGCCGGAGGTGACATTTTACAGACCACTGCCTTGGGTAAGCTTAACACACACACACACCACACACACACTCGACCAAAGCCTTCACATGATAGCATGGATTTCACCCCAACGCAGACCTGGAGTGAAAGTCAGAGGAGAGAGAGGGAGGGATGGATAGAGAAAGAGAGAGAGGAGCCAGACATAAAACGAATCTGAGGGAAATGTCATGCAGGCTAGTCCCTACCCAAGGCTATTATGTTTGGTTTGATGGAGGGAAAGCTAAACAGATATGGTACATTTCCTTTCTGCCTGCTGTTGAATTGAACTGAATGTGTCCTTTTTGCTGTGGTATATAGGGATTTCCTGGTTTATTCTGTGATGCTTCAATGCCCCGTTTCTCTGAGTTTGGGAGAAATTGGGGCTTAGGTGAAGCTATAACATTAGCCTAGCTACAATATTGTAAACTTCAGTGCCATCTCTTTCTAATATGACGGTGCATAGTTTTTAATGCCGAATATTGGCAGCTGTCTAGAGAAAAGTTACGTGGTTGTTTATAAGTAGCCTACATACTGTATATTTAGAAAGTGTTACAATATTGACTAAATATGTAAATCTAGACAGAGCACAACCTCCTTGTTTGCTGTTTACCTCAGTGGCAGGTATATTGAAGCTGCGCCGCTTGCGCACTGGCAACAACAAAATGCAACATGTTGCTGTGTGTCAAATCACTTCAATAAACTTAACACACACTCACTTTCATTAACTAACCTAATATATAAATGTCTGTTGCTAAAACACAAAATAGAGTATTATATTGTTTGGTACTTTTACATATAGAAAACCCAATTTTTGTCAGCCAGTTCGTCCCTAGTCTCCGCTCCAAAAGATTGGCCGCTTTGTGGGCGTAGCGGGAACATATTCAGGTAAGTAAATATATTTAGAAGAAGTTAAAAACAATGTCTTATTAGCTAGCTACAGCAGGCCACTGTGTGTAGGCTAATGCTAGCTAGCTAGGGCAGGTCATTTTGTGGGAGAACATTAGGAAAATAATCTCCAGTTCTATTCTCTGGAGAGGAAAACTATGAAGACAGACAGAGAGATAATAGCAACATAATAGTCAGGGCCCGGTTTCCCAAAGACATCTTAAGGCTAAGTTCATCGTTAGAACCATAGGATCCTATGGTTCTAACGATGAACTTAGCCTTAAGATGCTTTTGGGAAACCAGGCCTAGAGCTGTCTAATTGTAATTTAATGAAGCCTGTTTCTTTGTGATGTTGTTTGTCCTCAGATATGGAGAGCTGTGAAAGCCTGTCTGCAGATGAAAAGGTCCCAAAGAATGTCCCAAGAGACTGTGTACTTATGTTAGCACATGTTGTATACAACAATACAGTTAAATGTCACACACAATGTAGGCTACAAACCTATTACAACTGGAGCAGGCCAATCCAGGCTCAATTAAAGATGTTGCAGAACGGCTGTATTTGAAGCACCGCTCCCTTCTGCCCAGTTTCCCTGATGTTGCTTCGGCAATCAAGCTGTTTTTAACCATCCCTATAACTCTCGCTTCTGCGGAGAGATCTTTTTCTAAACATAACTCATAAAAAACTACCTAAGAAGCATTAGGCTCTCAGTCTGGTATGCGCTTTTGAACACCTGAGTAAGCTCCACTCATTGCACTAGCGGTGTCGTAGCCTTGACCACGGCATTTGTTCACCGATATCCCCTTAGTGTCAATCAGTTCAATCATTTATTTTTCAAGGACTGAGGCACTTTAATCAGTCACATTCTTGAAGCCAAATAAACAAATACTTAGCTTCCTAGTACATATGAAAATGAAAAAGCTTTATGAATGACTTTTTGGAGGGTTACTGTCAAAATGATAAAACAACATAATAATTGACATCAGTGACAGGCACATAGGCTCTAGAGCTCGTGGGCCCCCCGCCTTGCGGGGACTGTGGGGGTGTCCGGTAGGCCAGTGCATCTGATTGGTTAAAGACAGTGGTGGCCGCGTGACATTTGAACTTTTTCTACAGCTCTGCTAGCAGCGTTCTCACCGCTCACCTTCCCACAGTCCCCCGCACATTTTTCAGTGTACCCTCGTTGAAAATGAATGGGGGCGGAACTTCTCCTGCCGACATCGCGTCTGGCGAAAATCCCACGTTACCTCACACTCAGGAGGCGCGTGGACACTCCTCGCGCAAAGCAGATTACTGCTAGCTGCCATCTGGTCAGTGCGCCACTTGAGACAGAAACAAAGTAGCAAGTGTAACTTGTCAATAACAAAACAAAAACACAACAGGGTCATCCACTGCATTTACCAACTACGGCGACAACATCCCTCCAGGCATATATTTGACAAAGCCCCGACATGGCCAATGACAGTCTAATGTATACGAGTACGATAATTAACGATTAATTAATTAGAGATGGCTAGTATTCTATAACACCCACCCGCACGTGCTCGAACGGTGTGTCTTGGTTAAACAAGTGGCTCTGGATTATCTTGTGGCGTAGGAAGGAACGCTACCGTCGTCATAGCCACCCAGGTATAGACACTATAGACAGAATGGGTGCATTCCACATTGCAGTTGACTTTAAAGGCGAGTCAAAACTGACAGTCAGTCACAATTTACCCATGATACATCACAGTTTTGATGCTCTCGAACATGGCCACAGTGTCATGCATTCACGTGCTGAAGCCCTGAGGGGGCTTTCAAAATAAGAAATGCATCATACAGGGATGATTTCTGTATTTTGAAAATTACATACAGTGAGGGAAAAAAGTATTTGATCCCCTGCTGAATTTGCCCACTGACAAAGACATGATCAGTCTATAATTTTAATGGTAGGTTTATTTGAACAGTGAGAGACAGAATAACAACCAAAAAATCCAGAAAAACGCATGTCAAAAATGTTATAAATTGATTTGTTCCACTCCTCTAAATATTTGACCCCTCTGCAAAACATGACTTAGTACTTAGTGGCAAAACCCTTGTTGGCAATCGCAGAGGTCAGACGTATCTTGTAGTTGGCCACCAGGTTTGCACACATCTCAGGAGGGATTTTGTTCCACTCCTCTTTGCAGATCTTCTCCAAGTCATTAAGGTTTCGAGGCTGACGTTTGACACCTCGAACCTTCAGCTCCCTCCACAGATTTTCTATGGGATTAAGGTGTGGAGACTGGCTAGGCCACTCCAGGACCTTAATGTGCTTCTTCTTGAGCCACTCCTTTGTTGCCTTGGCCGTGTGTTTTGGGTCATTGTCATGCTGGAATTTACATCCAAGACCCATTTTCAATGCCCTGGCTGAGGGAAGGAGGTTCTCACCCAAGATTTGACGGTACATGGCACCGTCCATCGTCCCTTTGATGCGGTGAAGTTGTCCTGTCCCCTTAGCAGAAAAACACCCCCAAAGCATAATGTTTCCACCTCCATGTTTGACGGTGGGGATGGTGTTCTTGGGGTCATAGGCAGCATTCCTCCTCCTCCAAACACGGCGAGTTGAGTTGATGCCAAAGAGCTCCATTTTGGTCTCATCTGACCACAACACTTTCACCCAGTTCTCCTCTGAATCATTCAGATGTTCATTGGCAAACTTCAGACGGCCCTGTATATGTGCTTTGTTGAGCAGGGGGACCTTGCGGGCGCTGCAGGATTTCAGTCCTTCACGGCGTAGTGTGTTACCAATTGTTTTCTTGGTGACTATGGTCCCAGCTGCCTTGAGATCATTGACAAGATCCTCCCATGTAGTTCTGGGCTGATTCCTCACCGTTCTCATGATCATTGCAACTCCACGAGGTGAGATCTTGCATGGAACCCCAGGCCGAGGGAGATTGACAGGTCTTTTGTGTTTCTTCCATTTGCGAATAATCGCACCAACTGTTGTCACCTTCTCACCAAGCTGCTTGGCGATGGTCTTGTAGCCCATTCCAGCCTTGTGTAGGTCTACAATCTTGTCCCTGACATCCTTGGATAGCTCTTTGGTCTTGGCCATGGTGGAGAGTTTGGAATCTGATTGATTGATTGCTTCTGTGGACAGGTGTCTTTTATACAGGTAACAAACTGAGATTAGGAGCACTTCCTTTTAAAGTGTGCTCCTATTCTCAGCTCGTTACCTGTATAAAAGACACCTGGGAGGCAGAAATCTTTCTGACTGAGAGGGGGTCAGATACTTATTTCCCTAATTAAAATGCAAATCAATATATAACATTTTTGACATGCGTTTTTCTGGATTTTTTGGTTGTTATTCTGTCTCTCACTGTTCAAATAAACCTACCATTAAAATTATAGACTGATCATTTCTTTGTCAGTGGGCAAACGTACAAAATCAGCAGGGGATCAAATACTTTTTATCTTGAAAACTTGATTGCTGACAAGGAAAACATTTTGGGACTATGTCAACAATGGACTAATGAAACAAATACCAAATAATTGTTTTTGGGTGGAATTATCTTTGAAGACATGTCTACCTCTGGGTGACTGAAACCAAAGGGCCCATGCAGTCATGATTCAGCACATCCACAATACAGAGCTGACGAAATACAACGATATAGTTCAACCAACAGTAGCCTATAATAATTTATTTGGCCATTTAACTCTTTATCAAAGAATCTACCCCCCAAAAAACGATTTATTACAGCATTGTCTATCAAGAGGTGGCAGGTAGCTTAGTGGTTAAGAGCGTTGTGCCAGTAACTGAAAGGTCGCTGGTTCTAATCCCTGAGCCGACTAGGTGAAAAATCTGTCGATGTGCCCTTGAGCAAGGCACTTAACCCTAATTGCTCATGTAAGTCGCTCTGGATAAGAGCGTCTGCTAAATGACTAAAATGTAAGAGAAGAGAAAACTCTGCCTACAACTTTGAATTTCAGCACTTGTCTCTGCCTATTGGCAATAGCTTGTGCAGTAGCTTGCAGAAGCCACAAGGCAAAATACTCTGTCTCTCCCCCGCAGCCACATAAGCACAGCTGACACCGACATAGTGTTATGCATTCAAATTATGTAAACAAATCAAAAA